AATGTAGACACGTTTACACACGCACGCATGCGCGCACACACACACACACACACACACACACACACACACACACACACACACACACACACACACACACACGCACGCACGCGCGCGCATGCATCGTCGGTTAGCAACGCTTACACCCCGTCGACACACAGCCATTATGTTCAATCAACACATTATAAAGGATCCAAGCCGGTGCAAAACAAAACTGGATTATAAGCGCGGCTGCTAAATCCATGCGCACGGTAGCGTATTATTTGATTCAGGTTTAAACTAAGATTATCCTCTACAGAGTTTGAAACTTATACGATTCTCTTCACCGACCTCGAGGCTTTCCCCGCTGCCGAATTCTGAAACCTCTTGTCCTTCACTGAACAGTTCTTGAGGCAACGGTGTTTGGTCCTAAAAAATAAACAGGTGTTCAGGTTATATCAGTAACGTTTACACAATAGTTTTTAACTTTAACAGTACTCAGTATAAATAATTGATATATATATATATATATATATATATATATATATATATATATATATATATATATTCAGGAATACATATCAAACAAAGTTTATTGTGTATTTCCGGTGTCGCGTTATCTTGCACTCCAAATCTACAATACACAGCGTAGTATTTGATAGTGTTTCCTATCAAGTAAATAGCGTGTCATGTATAGTTTAAGAACGCAATCAAGCATGCGAGATGTGAATTATTACCTAGCCTGGGTCTGCTCTGTGGCTTTTCAACCTCCTTTCCCTCTGTAAGAAAACATCATACATGAGACGAAATAAAGAGAACTGAGCTACCGTATACTAAATGCTTTTCATGTTATTTTTCAGCATATTTAACAGGTCATTCCACACTAGGGACAATGTTACGGGTGATATATATATATATATATATATATACAGGAGCTAATAATGACATTATTAGCTCTGTCATTATTAGCTCTTGATATATATAATACGCGTTGCTAAATGATTGCGGAATGACTGTGAGAGATGTGTGCTTGCTATAGCCTGACTGACCTGGCTGTGTCCTTAGCTCCCACGTGTCCTCGATGCGACTGACGCCGTGCTGGTTCTTTGCCTGAATCTGTATCTGATAGACGGAGTCTGGATGTAGACCCGTGATCTCGAATGAGCCATAGTGGTTCTCGCTGCCATCCGACTTTTCTGCCGGAACATTGATTCGCTTCCACGGTTTGTTGATGTCCTAGGAAAATACCGCATCATTAGTATAATCAGGAGTGTATAACATAGACTATATTTACACTCCTGGTATCATCAATAATGCATCCGAGAAACAAATGATGGGCTTCTTTGTACTTTGTTTGTAACAGTTATAGGGCTTATTGAGTTTAATTAATTGTGGATGATCCACTAAGACTAACAGGTCTTTTGCAATGTAAAGCGTTGGTTTTGCAATTTTTTGTGTCATGAATTACTATTTTATATTAGATGTGAGCATACCTCTTCAGCCCTGTAGAGCACGATGTAGCTTAGAATGGGCGCGTACGATTTTGTCGTCCACATCAGGAAGATGGCGTCGTGCTTATAGCCTATACTATTGCTGGACAGCTCGACCGCAAACGGCTCTCCTGTAAAGCATGAGCAACCTATGTTAGACTCGCACGTTTACACAAGGAACAAAAAAGTTGCAATATCCACTATAATTTGAGTATGGCCTTTTCGCAAAAGAATCGGCGTGTCAAATGTGCTTAATGTTCATATCATATCTTTGTCATTGCCTTGTGAACTAAATCTTTAACTAACACAGCCATGACACGATAATAATGATCAGGCGCTCAAACAGCCGTGGCAAAATTCCCAGGGACGCTTCATTCTACAGAAATAGGGTTCTTAAACTTCCAGAGTTCTACGAACTTTCCCAGTTAGAGAGAGATAAAGAGAAAGAGAGAGAGAGAGAGAGAGAGAGAGAGAGAGAGAGAGAGAGATAAAGAGAAAGAGAGAGAAAGAGAGAGAGAGAGAGAGAGAGCGAGAAAGGAGAGAAATGAGCAGAGCAGAGAATGAGAGAGACGAAGAGAGATGAAGATGAGATGAGACGCGTTTGCTCGTAAAGATGAATGTGACTCAAGGGAGAGCTAACGCAACGTCATTAATAAAGTGAGGGAAACTCTCTTCAAGCCAGTTTGTACAAACACAGCGCGGTTGAGGTTGCAATGAATCCTCCGCAGCTCTTGCGTGCGAGTTGGTGCCGGACACTATGTGTAACATCCATGGTCGTCGCTGCGTACATCTATATGAATGCTGAGCCATCCTGCTCTCGTAGTCGCAGGTTTACGATACCGGTCCTCGCTGTAGATCTCGGTTGCTGTGAAGGCATGGCGAGCAGCTGAATACTGAAACGCGTACACGTGAAGCGGAGCAAAAGCGAACACGTGCACAGTGGGGGCCATTTAAGATTGAACGATTAGAGAAATAATACTTGATAGTAAATGATGGAAGAGCAAGTGGGCAGACAAAGGAGGGAAGCGAGGAAGAGAAGAGAGAGAGACGAGAGAAGAGAAGAGAGAAGAGAAGAGAGAGTAGCACGAGAGGAGAGAGAGAGAGATTAAGCAATGGGCGACGAGTGGCGTGAGTACAGGAGGAGAGCAGATTCGTTTGCGAGACAGAAGGCGGCGTGTCAAAGCCAGCAAGAAAGACGAGGCAAATGGCGCGACGAGAGAGAATTGCAGCCCACTGCGATCAAGGTCGACCTATTCGAAATCCATGGGCACTGTCAAATAGTAGTTGTATTCCCGTTACGAAATGCTGAAAGCCATTGATCATACCTTGAATCAGGAAGCAAGAACTTGTTGTAGTTATGAATGTCCGATCCGACTTGTAGCCATGTGATCATAACTTCGCGGGCTTCCCCTTTGAACTCAACAGAAACGAGATAGAAACCTTGCTCGCCTAGAGTTATGTCGGGCATGGTATACTTGGCCTTGGTTTCTTGTATTTCTGGCTTTAGCTGAATGATTGAAGTCAGTAACGGTTTGTGGTAAACACAATTGCGCAATGAATGCAGGTTATAGAGCAATGTTTAGCAAACATTTATCTATGGCCGTCTATGACTCCTATTTATCCCATACCATTCTATCTTATATAATGTATATAATATACTTAATAAGGTAAGCTATATACTATTATTATATAGTATATTATATAATTCTGTCTGTCTGTCTGTCTGTCTGTCTGTCTGTCTGTCCGTCTGTCCGTCTGTCCGTCGATCCGCCCGCCCGCCCGCCCGCCCGCCCGATCGCCCGTCCGTCCGTCCGTTCGTCGGTCCATCCATCCAGCCATCCATCCACCCAGCCATCTATCAATCAATCCATCCATCTCTTCATCTATCTATACATACATAAATATATTCACCAGGTATCGTATTCATTCACCAGGTTGCTGAACCTGTCTTATAGCACATGTGAAACGCTTACTTTTACACTCCATATACATTCTTCGTAAACGATGCGATCAGAGTAGATTCACGTTTCGAATACATGTTTGATAGTATCTAGTCTCCTCTCCATCCTTTTAAATACATGCGACTGCGGGCTGATTTGTGTATGTCCTGACTAACGTTAATATACAGTACCTACATCATCTCTTATCCTTATTGTGTGTAAAGATTAGATAAAGTAAGTAGATACGATAAAGGAGAAGGAAAATATAAAGAAAAAACGGATTTATTTTTCTAGTCCGAAAAGCAAGAATGTTAAGCTTGGGCGGGTTTTTGTCTATAGGTCTCGGGCTGTGTTCTCAATTTTGGATTTCTTGAACATGTCATAATGCTCGCGCGCATCTGTTGCTTTTGTAGCTAGAACTAAGATCGGATCGCTCCCTGCTAGATACATATAGCTACGCAAGTTACGACGCCGAATGACTGGCATCCTACCGTCTGCGCATGCGTGAAGAGATGTCTGTAAGGATTCCTGATTGACGCACACGCAACGTGGGGTTATATGTTTGACCAGTCTGCTAATGCACGTACGCGCCGATTATCGATTAACGATTAATCAAGTGGATTTCAGCGGCTGTCATAATCGATAACCTAATATTTTTTGTTCTTGGATATACTATAACAATAACGTTAAGAAATTTTACAACACAAATATATATTACTAAGAGAACTAATTAGAGACAATTAACTAACTAAAATTAACGAAGACAACTTATCGGTAATACAACACCGCGTCTGTACGACACACTCAATCATCATGAACATCATCGAACGATCATTTCAAATAATATCAGGGGTGAATAATGACAAAATAATCTTCATAGGGATGCCATTATTCACAAATTAATAATCTCAGTGCGAGGTTCGGTATTGTTCGGAAGTGGGATATTGTGTAAGAATGACGACCTACGTTCGACTCTCAGCTCTACCGATGCTTCAGCGACCTCGTCTGTCTGCCGAACGCTCGCTGTGCACACGTACGTGCCGGCTACCGCCATCGTCACGTTCTCCATAAACAGATTCTCCCCGAAATACTCTGTGAAAACAGCGTTTACCTAGAAATAAAAATACCACGCGGGCAGATGTCGCTATAAATCAGAACGATTGCGGCATTGGTGTTATTGCATCGGCGGCATTCCTTCACAGGAACGCAAAGATTGAGTGCAGTTTATATAGCAAGGCGTTGGCGCACGCGTGGCAACCTAGTGCATTTATTCATGGCTCCAAAACGGGGTTATACTGGGAACACACGCACGATTTACGTTGTTGAATCGAGCGAAAGTATGCCAGCGACGCTCGGCAGGTTAAACTATGCGCTTACAAATAAGCCTATAGCGACAAATTCATAATATTTAGTGTATTTTTACGTTATCGAGCAATCTTAGGGGCGAACTATAAGCATTTTAACGTATAATAAGTATGTTATATAAGCATGTCTTGACCATGTGCACGCCGCTCGGACCAGAGATGTCCGATCGGACCTAGATTCCGTGGCATAGACCACATGTATTTCCAGTTATATAGGGCGCGCTAATGTAAACGTGCGAAACAATAATTAGTTCAATTAAGTAAAACGGCATGAAGCGGTCACTTGGAGTGTGCGCGCGTTATTCCTAGATCACTTGAGTCGTATAATCGATCACTTAAGAATTCACATTTATCCACATTCCTGTGCGAAAAATCTCATTGTAATTCTGAGAAGAAACGCCTCGTGAGCGTTTCCACCTTTATGTTTATTTCGGTTGCTGGGGCTTTTTAAACGAACGGGTGAGAATGTAGACACGTTTACACACGCACGCATGCGCGCACACACACACACACACACACACACACACACACACACCACAACACCAGCACACCACCACGCACGGCACGCGCGCAGTGATCGTCGGTTGCAAACGCTTACCACCCCGTCGAACACAGCCATTAATATGTTTCAATCAACGACATTATAAGGATCCAGCCGTGGCAAACAAACTGGATGTAAGCGCGGCTCTAAATCCATGCGCACGGGTAGCGTATTATTTGATAAGGTTACTCAGATTATCCCTCTACAGAGTTGAAATCTATACGATTCTTCTTCACGACCTCGAGTGCTTCCCGCTGCGGATTCTGAACACTCTTGTCCTTCCTGAACGTTTTTGAGCAACGGTGTTTGTCCTAAAAAGATAAACAGGCTGTTTAGGTTTATCCAGTAACGTTTACAACAATAGTTTTTTACTTCGTTTTTTTTCATATACTTTTATTGTTTAACGAGTAATCGAGTATAAATAATTGATACTATCATATACTACCATTATATTTAGTATAATATTAATATATATATTATATCTATATATATATAAAGCCGGTACATAATAATCTCTCTTTATGTATCTTGAATAATAATATCAAGTAAATAAAGACAAATATAAGGTGTCAATTGGGTGTCAATATGGTGACAATATCGTGTCATTATTCACCTCTGCTAATGTGTGCACACACACGCGCGCTCATTTAGCACGTACTACCGTAATCGTTACTACTAAGTTTATTTATACACGAGCTTCAGCTACAGATGATTCATTTTGCATGTATAGCACACGCTGTATATACAGCATCCTATTTCCTTACTACAGACCATAATATGATACACTAATAGCACCAGACTAATAAATTCACTCTGGCTCTATTATATGGTATAGGCGGTATAATATAATATATACGTGAGATACTTGGTCATGTTACAAGGTTGTAATTTCATTTCAAATCTGGCTTCAAGAATTTATAAAAATCATTTTAATAATTCAAAATTATCAGCATGAACATATTCTCTTAAAACGTATGGTAGGCCTACATCTGAACATCATATTCGTGAGATTTTCAATTTTCCTACACCTTTATTTTCCTAAAATATGATACTATTCTGTAATCGTAAATCGGATTGTGTTACGTAGTTATCCGGCCGATATACTAGGATATAGGTTTTACGATTCATATACGCAGGGTTTAATAATGACAAACTGTCAAATATCATTATTAACCCATGATATACGTCATCGGCCACGTATGAACAGTCACAATATCGTTTCAATGCGACTATGTCCTTTCGCGGTCGCAGAGGTCAACTGGTCGCTATCGTCGTCTGCTTACCTCGCGTGTCCACATGACGGCGGGTGGCGGGTTACCTTCCGCGTCGCACAGGATGTCAACCGTGTCGCCGACGGTGACAATTACTGGTGACGAGTTCGGCGTCATGACTAACGTCAGCGGAGCTGCAACAGTTGATTGACGGCGCTGGTAAATAGCTGGGATTTTCGCACCTGGCCCAACATCTAAGTTTATATTGATTTATGATCAATAATCGATGATGGTAATAATCGCCGCCGTGAAGTGTTGGTTTATACGTCTCCCGGATTTTGGGTAAATAAACCAACCACATTACACGCGAATTGCGTATTATTACGTACCTGAGTTTAATTCTATCGGATTGGGTTGGCAACCGATTGAGGAGGGGGAGGTTGCGTGTGAATGAATGTACTATTGCACCTTCACATTGTAAACGAGTACTATCTAGTGTATAGCCTATAACGAAGGGTGAGTCACAGACGTAGTTACAGTAGTAGGCGTGTGTAATGACATACTCTGTACGTGAACGTAAATCTCGAGCTTCTCCTTTTTGTAGTTGCAGCTGTAGCTACCGACGTGTCGCGGGCTGTTCACTCCAGTGATGACTAGATCCCAGCGTGAAGGGCTGTTCGGCAGGCTATAGGAGGTAACGTCAGCAAACAGGTACGGGCCCTGTGATATCAGCTTGCCGTCCTTTTGCCACGTGATCGAGTAGACATCAGTTTCTGAAACATTCGAGACGACATTGCTCGTAGCAGCGTCGCCTGTCAGGGGACCCCCGCCCGCGTTGCTATAGTTACGTGACACATTTGACGTTTTTTTTCAAATATTTTTTTAGAAAGGTTGACATCGTACGCATCTTTAACTTTAACGCGTCTCTACTATTATCTCTATGCTTGTTTTGCTGCTATCCGATGTTTTGCCACTTTAGACGAAAGGAAACCTGTAACAAAACGCTGGTACGCTAGAAAGCTCAAACAGCCCCTGCGTGCTCAGCTAAGCCTTGTGCACGCAGTTTTTACATAAACCCCATAGAAACGCTTAGAATTCACGTTTTAAGCTCATTCGGGGTTTTTTTTCGCACCAGAAGCGCTAGCCGATAGATTCCTCTGGCCGTTGCGTATTATAGTTAAACGATTCGCGCAGGTTGAATCCTGATTGACCTCGCAGACGAGTCTGTCTGACAGCAGGAGCTAACAGGAGCTAACAGGAGCTAACAGGAGCTAACAGCAGGAGCTAGTTTCCGCCAATCGATCGAGTTGCGCGAAAAAAAGGTTGTCGTATGCGTGTTATTTGACATTTAGGAGCTAGGGACGAACACGAAAACATGATCGCAATGCCTACGCCACCTGTTTTTTTTGCAACGTTTCCGTACGAGCAACCTTAGCTTTAATGTCCATAATGGCTTTATATAACCACGCTTGGCATTCACAGACGGTGCAAATCAATCTCAGACACGCTCCGGCATCTCTGCGTCTCCTGCGTGCCTGCTGGTTCCCGTTAGCACTGATTATATAGATAACATCATAACACCGCAACCATTTCTGGAAGAACCCCCCCCCCCCTTCCTACGCATGACGGAAGAAACCCCCCTTTCCTACGCACGGCGGAAGAACCCCCCCCCCCTTCCTACGCACGGCGGAAGAAACCCCCCCTTTCCTACGCACGGCGGGAGAAACCCCCTTCCTACGCACGGCGGAAGAAACCCCTTTCCTACGCACGGCGGGAAAAACGCCTCCTCCTTGCTACGCACGGCGGGAGAACCCCCTCCCCCTTGCTACGCACGGAGCAAGGAACCCTCCTTCCTACACACGGCGTAAGAACCCCCTCCCCTCCCTACGCACGGCGCAAGGAACCCCCCTCCCTCTCTACGCACAGTGCAAGGAACCCCTCCCCCTTCCTACGCACGGCGGAAGAAACCCCCTCCCCCTTCCTACGCACGG